TATTCTTAATATATTGTATGTCCTATTCTGTTTTTATTTCTATTACATATGGAGTATATGTAACAAAAGTAAGTATTTCTGATTCAGAAATTGATTATTAGTTGTAGTGTTTTTGATCTTTGTATGAAGGCCTTTGTGTTTTGAAAGTGCTCTATGATTAAATCAGAATTACTTTTATTAAGTAGGTATGTGTGCGCATACAAGGAATCTGACTCCGGTTTACGTTGCTGTCAATGTACAAATGTAGACTAACAGCGTAAGTAAACAGAACAAGTTCAACAATAGAGACATAGATTTATATGTGCAGTTATATACAGGTATACATATCTATAAACAAACATTTATAAACAGTAGACATAGTGCAAAGAATGCTGAAATAAATATTTTCCGTCTAGGTATCTTTATGAACATGGGGTAGGTGGATATGACCACTGTAGATAAAGGTTATTATTATCATTATCTGTAGGCTATTACTTGAACAACATCAGCTTTGTATCAGAGTATGTGCACCATAACCTGCATACATGATCTACTACCTATATGCTTTATCTGTAATTGCTAAGCACAGTGTCAACAGTGACTTTAAGTAGTCATAGGTTGAATCCCAACCATTGTTAATTCCTGAAAGTCTAACTATGCCTTTCATAATCTGTGTTTTTCTTCCCTCCAGGTTCGACATATCCTCTGTGAAAAACATGGAAAATGCATGGAGGCAATGGAGAAACTGAAGGCTGGAGTCCGTTTCAGTGAAGTAGCATCACAATACAGTGAAGACAAAGCTAGACAAGGAGTAAGAGCATGCACTCATAATTAAATATTCAGTTTTTAAATCCTCTGTTATTACTGATTGTGTTTGCTATTTTATTGATTGATTTAAATTATGCCATAATATTAACTGTACTAACTGTGACAGCCCTCTGTATTTTGCCTGTAGTAGTGTAATGTTGAATATGATGTACAAGGTTCATTTTATTTATCACCCTACAAAACAGTGCTCATATTGAGCTTTTTGTGGAGGGGGGTGCTTTCCAGAGTGATGAATAATAATGTTTTCCTCCCCCATTACTTACAGAAATTTGGTTGATGGTAAGATAAGATAAGATAACATAAGATAAGATCTTTTGAGGTTCCTTTACTGATCCATGTAGGGGAAATTCAAATTGGCACAGCAGCATAGGGTAGTGTAGAACACAAAATAAAGAAAATATAATAAAATACAATAAAAATAAATACATTATATAAAGTAAAAGAGAATATAATGAGAGTTTGTTTCACCAACTCACTGTACATTATTCGCACCTGCACCCCACCAGACACCTACACTAGTGTATTCTCAGCTACTGGGAAACTACTGACAGGAAACTACTCACTAGAGTAGGTCAGGCCGTAGGGACTCGGCTTGGTAACCGGAGGGTGGTTTGTTCAATTCCAGCATAAAACCATAGTACATAGTGTGTGGACTGGTAGCTGGAGTGATGCCAGTTTACCTCCTTGAGCAAGGCACCACACCTCTGACTGCTCGGGTGTGCGCCTCTGTTTGGGCAGCCCCGTCGCTCTAAACAACTCTGTGTGTGTGTGTGTGTGTGTGTGTGTGTGTGTGTGTGTGTGTAAACTGTATAATTAAAGTACATGGGCTTCAGGCTGATACTCAAGGACAGCACATAAATACTTGGCTTGTTAGAATCATAACAGTGCTACAGGGGTCAAAGATGTTTCTTTGACCTCATAACTGTCCACGTCATTTCCGGCGTTGCTCATAGTTGTCACAATATCACAGTTTCTAATTTCAGTACAGTGAACTTTTGAACCCTGTTTGCCTTTGTTGCTCATGTTCAGTCACTTGTCCTTGCTTTCTGACCACATTAGCCGCATACTGCGTGTTTTCTAAATGGCAGTTTTGTTCATAACAGGGTGATCTGGGGTGGATGACACGAGGTTCGATGGTTGGACCGTTCCAGGATGCAGCTTTCGCCCTATCCGTCAGTTCCATGGATAAACCTGTGTACACAGACCCTCCTGTCAAGACAAAGTTTGGGTACCACATAATTATGGTAGAGGGGAAAAAGTGACCTGGCTCAACGCTTGAAATGACAAATTCTACAGTGTGCAACTGATTATCTCCTGATCTGATGTTGGTTCAGTGTTAGTGGTTGCTTTTTATATTTTATGGAATGTTTGAAAACACAAAATTAAATAACCCTCGTGTCAGCTTTATTTTTGGTTAAATGCACACTGCCTTACTGACAGTTCAACCTGACGGGAAGTATTCTTAACTTTCATATTCACATAATTCACCAGATTCTCTGATAAAATGTGTGGAAATCAAATCACAAATGGACTAAATAAATGCATTTTCATTGAAGTAGTACAAAATGCGTACGGTTTGCTTTTGTGTGTATGACAGAGTGACAGAGAAAGACGTGTTGGGCTCACTCCAAAACACTTTCAGGAAAGGAGGTGATATCTTTTTTTTCTTAATTTCCAGACCTCTAAGAATTCGAAGAACTATTTTGAATCGGAATCACTTTTATTGGCCAGGTATGAATGCACATACAAGTAATTTGACTCTGGTTTTACGTTGCTCTCAATGTACAAACACAGACTAACAGCGTAAATAAACAGAACAAGTTCAACAAAAAAGACAGACTAATATGTGCAAGAACATGTGTGACAGCAGACAATACTCTTAGAATAGAAATTATGTTTTACGTTTTTAAAAAAGAAACAATGGAAAATAAGTAATAAATGGTTTAATTAAGAGTCATAGGGTTATTGTACAGGGCAGTTAACTTGGTCAGAGTGATGGCTTGTGGGTAGAAACTGTTCCTCTGTCTCTTTGTTTTGGCGTACAGTGCTCTGTAGCGCCTACCAGAGGGGAGGAGTTGGAACAGGTTGTGTCCAGGGTGAGATGGATCTGCAGTGAAGTTACCTGCCCTGTTTCCTGACTCTGGACTAGTAAAGGTCCTGAATGGAGGGCAGGTTGGCACCAATGATGACCTCTCTACAGTCCTGACTGTCTGCTGTAGTCCAAACCAGACAGTGATTGATGAACATAGAACAGACTGAATGATGGAATATGTAAATATAAATTCATTAGGCGTTAAGTCTTTGTTATTCTGTTATCTGAAGATGAATTATTGTTAGCTGTTAGTAACTAATAATGTGGACACATTTTAAATTAAATATGATAGGAAAGAAATGTGAACAAAACTGACATTTACAAAAGAAAGTAACAGTTGTTAGAAATTAAGTTTACTTGCTACTGAGTAGGACTGATGTAAACTGATTTTCATTATTCATTAATTTGCTTTGCTTTTTGATTATATTTTCAGTTAATTGTTTGATTTATAAAATATAATAGTGAAAAATGTCTTTCACAAAAACCAATGGCGATGTTATCAAATTGATTGTTTTGTCTAAGCAACAGTTAACTATTATATAACACTGGTTTCTAATCTAGGGGTCCTAAACCCTGGGGAAAACTATCCAATAATAATATAATGGCTTTATTAAGGACACAAGAAAAAGATCCAAAGCAATAAAAACAGAGAATATATACAAAAATGTAAAACTGTATATTATATATAAACATAAACATCTAAACGAAACTACACAGAATTTGTAAAAAAAAAAATAACCCTATTAATGATCTATGATTGTTAAAAAAAACATCATACAGAAAGAGAAATGTATAAAATGTCCTAAATATCAGGATACTCATTTCTAATGCAATATTCACAGGACATAATCTGCTAAAAATACATCCAAATCTCCAGTTAACACAAACTTCCTGCAGGTATTGCATGCACTGTTTGGGTTAACAGTTTAGCAGTTGCTTTGTACTATTATTGTCAAGCATATAATATGAAAAACATCCATAAAATATGTCCGTCAGGGGCCGTCAGTTTACTCAATGATAAAAAAAATCCCCTGATACAGACTGTGTTCATGCATCAGTGTTGTCTTTACACACTACAG